TACTACTTCGAGTTCCGCACCTACTGCAAGGGCCGCTGGGTGGGCCGCAGCCTCCTGCACGTCTTCAGCACCGAGTTCCGCGCTCAGCCCCTCGCCTACTACCGCGCTGCCGCCCGCGCCGGCCGCCTCCGCCTCAACGAGGAGCCGGTGCGTGACCTGGACATCGTGCTGAAGGTGGGAACCGACCCCCGGGGCTGGGAAACGGCGGGGGCGGGGGCGGCTCCCGGAGGCGGCCTGGTACTGAGCGTGGGCTGGTGAGCGGTCACCCCACAGGGGAGACCACAGCTCGGCTGTAGAGCTCTGCGGTGAGACAGCCCGAATTAAGGGAGTATTTAAGGAGAATCGGGTCTCCCCGGGATGATGTTCTATGGTACAATATCCAGATGCCAGTCTGGACCCATCACTCTCCCCTCAGCTTCTGCAGCCACTGACTAGCAAAACTTGAGAAGTTGGGAAGTCCTGAATTCCCAGCAGCAGCTGAAAACACCCCTCACAGGAAAGAATTTCTTCCTCAGATCTCATCTCAGTCTCCCCTCTTCCAGTTTAAAGCAATTTAGGTTATCAACATTCTTCTTTAAAGCCATTAATCTTATCAACATTCTTCTTCTTTAAAGCTATGTGTGTTATCAACATTCTTGTACTAAATCCCCCACTGAATCCAGAGTTCAGCGCTGTGCTGGCTGTTGAGAGCAGAGAACGAGCTCTGTCCCGGCCGAAAGCAGGACAGGAGGTTATTGAATTCAAATGGCAATGTGCAGAGTTGTGCCAGATCCTGGGTTCCAGGACAAAGGGGTTTCATCCCCCGCCCTGCAGTGTCCAGCCCCATGGTCTGTGGCCAGATGAGGTGGTTTTGCTGCTGGATTCACATGAATTCTCTTTCTTGCAGAACAATGATTTTCTCAGGAACACGGTCCATCGCCATGAGCCACCGGTGACCGCCCAGCCCATCCAGATCTTGGTGGAGGACGATGAGGTGGTGGTGGTGGACAAACCCTCCTCTCTGCCGGTCCATCCCTGCGGCAGGTTTCGTCACAACACGGTTATCTTCATCCTGGGCAAGGAGCACGATCTGAAGGAGCTACACACCGTTCACCGGCTGGATCGCATGACCTCGGGGGTGCTCATGTTCGCCAAGACCGCAGCCGTGTCCAAGAGGATCGATGAGCAGGTTCGGGAGAGGCAGGTGAGAGCTAAAGGCTGCAGCAGTTTTGGGGAGTCTCTTGCATGGTAGTTTCTTGAAACAGGTCTGAAGTCAGACAAATTTTTGGTCTAAATGAGCACAAGTTCCCAAACCAGCTTGTGGTCACTTTACTGTTCTTATTGTATTAAGCATGAGAGGCATCAAGAGAAAAAGTCTGACTAAAAATTCAGTTGATTTTTGGTAATATTAGACTGAAAGGGATCCCCTTCCCCGAGGGGCTGTGCAAACTGACTGGGATTGTGCAGGACAGGTAGGGAGCAGTTGTGTTTGTAAGTGGGAATGTGTCAGCCATCTAATACTTCTTCAATTTTAAAAGTTTTCCCATGTTCCCAGGGGCTCTTGACCCAAACAGAACTGTAGCTGCAGGGTTCTAGCTTCCAGGATTTGCTTCAAGGCCGTAAATCAAAGGTGACTGAGAGATGGATCTTGAATTTAATGTGAGAAGAATAGGCCAGGCCCTCGTGTTCTTGATTTTCCAACTAGTTGGGGAAAACATGAGAGAAATTTGGCTTTAAATAGCTGCTTTCAATTTTTTTTTTTTACCTTTCCTGTTCCTGTGCAATAGAACTTGGGCAGTATGTTGTATTTCCTTGAAGAGAAGGAGAGGAGCAGCTAGGATGGGACTCGGGTGTAATCAGGACAGGTTTTTGGTTTGTTTTCTGAGAGTTACTCTTGTGTCTCCCCGTAGCTGGAGAAGGAGTACGTCTGTCGCGTGGTGGGGGAGTTCCCAGAGCACCAAGTGGTCTGTGAAGAGCCCATCCTGGTTGTTTCTTACAAAGTGGGGGTGTGTCGTGTGGACCCCAAAGGGAAATTCTGCCAAACCATCTTCCAGAGACTCAGTTACAACGGCAGCACCAGCGTAGTCAAGTGTCTTCCGCGTACGGGCCGCACGCACCAGATCCGGGTCCATCTGCAGTACCTGGGACATCCCATCGTCAACGACCCCATCTACAACATGGCAGCTTGGGGCCCTGCCCGGGGCAAGGGTGGCAAGGTCGATAAAACAGATGAAGAACTGCTGAAGGCACTCGTAGAGGAGCATCGTTCCAAACAGAGCCTGGATATCTTGGGCATTTCAGAAGAGGACTTGAGCTCCAGCGCTGACAATAAAGACCCTGGTCATGCAGGTGGCTGCGCAAAGTCTGCGCAGGCTGATCCTGTCCATGAGGACCCCGAGAGAAAGGAGTCAGCAGCTTGTCCACTGAACTCTGATTCCAACCTGGAAACGCTTGAAAACAATAAGGAACTTGTTTCCTGTGAGGATCAGGACGGGCAGACGGGAGAAGGGAGTTCAGGAGAGAAGGACCCGTTGTGCCTGGAGTGTAGAACGAGCAGGCGGGACCCGTCTCCCAGGGAGCTGGTGATGTTCCTGCACGCCTTGCGCTACAAGGGAGCGGGCTTTGAGTACTGCTCCAGGATGCCCGAGTGGGCGATGGAGGACTGGGAGGAGTGACCTCCTGTGGACACTGCAGTCTGGGAAAGCATCTTGTAAAGACCCAAGATTTGCTTTTTCAGTGTGGTTGAGGTGAACAAACTGCCCGTGACTTGAGATGGGGTGGGAGGAATTGTGGCTGGAGAGCTGTCCTGGCTGCTGGCAGGCACCGTGAAAGGTGAGCAGAATGGGGCTGAAACACTGGATTTGTGTTGCCCTTTAGTGAAACTCCCACTTCAGGGCAGCAAAGGTCACCCAGCACAGGCAGCTTTGCCTTTCACCTCAGCCTCTTCTGGGTCTGCACTCGATTATCCACCCAGATAATTAAGCGCGTACACTTAAAACTCAGCAACTGATTTTTCTTCTGGCCTGCTGTGTTCTTGTCTCCTGCAATAAGAGCTGCTGGAATGTTGTTCTGTATTTTTGAACAAAATGATTTGGACTGTATTTTATTGCCAGACTTGATTTTAAAACTCAAACGTTACCACTAAGAACACCAGGAGGTCAAACCAGAGCACTGTGAAGCTGAGTCATTTTCTGCTTTGCTTGTCAGTGACGTGGCCTTTGCTTTGAAACTGCTCTTTTCAGTATTTGTTCAAATAATGGCTTAATTTATAGCAATTCTAGGGACTGATCTCTTTGGTTTGGGCCTGTTTTTGGAGGTACTGCTCCCCAGATTTTGTCTTTATGAGATTTATAAGGAGCCTGATTGAGTAGATTTTTTTCCCCTGTGACCTGTCTCCTGCCTTCCCAAAAACATCTGCCTTCTCTTCTGAGAGCCTGGCAGTCGCTGTCCCTTTCACCTCATTGCAAACATCTTCATACCTGAGCACAAAGCCAAAGTAGAGCTCAGTCTGCCAACTTATTTTTTTATATATTTGTTTTTAAAACCTAGTACTGTAGGCAGATTGTCTCTGGTTGGTGTGGAATTGTTTTTAATATCACTTCAGTGTGACAATCAGCTTTAAAGAAAAAGAAAAGCTGCTCTATGAACCAGAAGGCTTTTCTTGTTAATACATTTTATATGAATAAGTTTCCAGGATGATAAATGTCGCTATAGCTCTTACTTTCCTCAGTGTCTGTATGTTCACTTCCTGGCCTCCACGAGGGTTATTACAATAATTCTGCTGTCTCAGATGTTTTTTAATCTGTTTTTTCCTCTCTTCTGTATGTGTCACCAGTGGCAGTGACCAGCTGCAGACAAGCAAAACCGTCTCCTGGGATGAGCCAGGGTGTTTGCAGACACTGGTCTTTAGCCCTGTGGCTCCGTGTCCGCCTCTCTCCTCACCTGTTCCTACACAGGGCAGGGGCGTCGCGTTCTGTGCTTCTAAAATATTAAAGCAGCTTTTTTTAAAGGCAAAGAAGGGAATTCAGAGGAGCTGACATTATTCAGCAAGTGTGGCAACAGCTTTGCTGGAGTGTGGTCCACTCTCAGGTGATCTCTCCTTGGCTCTAGGGAGCTCTGGCTGTTTCTCAGCCCCCCAGGACGTGATTTTCATGACTAATCTTTTCTTACTAGTTTTCCCATTTCACTGGGGAACTCTCTGCTTCCCAGGTGTCTGTGATGGGATGCTGGGGACCTAAGGTGGGCCAGGCCTGCAGGAATGACTGCCTTCCTCCTTGGCAAGGCTCCCAGAATGACTTGATGATGTTACCAGGATCAGGATTTGTGTACCAAGACAGAATAAACCAGTGCTTCCTTCTTCCAGCAGCTCAGAGGAGCCAAGGGATCCTTTCTCTCCTGGATCATCCAGCTGATGTGTTGAATGTGTCCATAAAAGTTCACTCAGCCTTGAGCTTTGCTCTTCCACATCCTGCTGAGGGTCTCTCGTGATTCTAATTTAACCACAGATATTATTTTATTGTTTTCCTGCCATCACGTGTTGAGGCCAGGTCTGGTACTTAGCTACAGGCAGCCTGTTAAACAAATGAGATAAAAGATCCCCTGTGTTTGAGAGATGACGCTAAAAAAACTAGAGTCAGACTTTTTCATGCACTGAAACACTTTTTCCATGTGATTAAATGAAACTTGGGCACCTTCAGTGTGTGGATAAGGGTGTCTGCAGCTGTCAGCAGCTTCAGACACAAGGGAAGGGTGGTAGATTCAGGGGTGACAGTTCTAAATTAGACTTTGGGGTGTCCCAAGTTATATTTTCTCCCCTCTCTGCAGGAAATAAGCATCTGACTTGTGGCAGTAGATGGAGAGTGGATGGCTGCAGGGGCTGGTGTGAGGCTGGAGCTCAGTGCTGTGTTTGTCTTTTTTGGCTACACATAATGACTGCAGTTGGCATCTTTTAATGATCACACCTTGCTGGTCAGGAAACCCCGGGACTTTGGTTTTCAAGATACTTTGAACAATGAAAATTTAAGGCTGATTTCACAAGAAGCCTACCACCAATTGCACCATCTTTCATTTTATCTCACTTCAGAGCTGGTGTCCAGGCAGTTTGTGCTAAGGAAAGTGTTGCAATTAGAGATGTGATAAATTCCCATCTAAGATTAGGTCTGAGTGTCCTGGTTGTGGGGTGATTGTGGTCGTAGTTACCTGTGCAAAGTGTAGATCCTGGAAGAACTTCTTTTGTATAGTTTTATTTTGCTATATTTACATGCCTTCAAGAAAGCTGGGGAGGGACTTGTGACAAGGGTAGGGAGTGAGAGAACAAGGGGTGATGGCTTGAAACTGGCAGAGGGGAGATGGAGATGAGATGTGAGGAAGAAATTCTTTGGTGTGAGGGTGGTGAGCCAGTGTCCCAGGTTGGCCAGAGAAGCTGTGGCTGCTCCTCCCTGGAAGTGTTCTCGGCCAGGCTGGATGAGGCTTTGAGCAACCTGGTCTAGTGGAAGGTGTCCCTGCTGCTGGCAGGGGGGTTGGGACTGGATGAGCTTTAAGGTCCCTTCCAACCCAAACCAGTCTGGGGTTCTGTGATTCTATCTTTTTATGCTACAGCAGAGGATCAGAATGTGATCTCACCAGCAGCTAAAGCACTTCTCTATAGAAATAAACCCTCCTGGCAAACGCTGGTGGGAGCTTTGCAATGCCTTACCCACTGCTTGTGTAGGACTGGCTCAGCAATATCCCCTCAAACCTCGCCAAGGCGCTCATCTTCCACACGATGACACTTTTCCACCTGCATTTTAACTGGTCCCTGCTGGGTGCCATTTGTGAGGCTGCAGAGTCATGGTCTGGCCATTTTCTGCGCGGGATTTACTATAATCTAATTTCCATGAGGATTTAAGTGTAGTTAAATGTGCTGCTGTGTGTGGCTGGAGGGTTCTCCGAGCTGTTCCAGCAAATGAGGCGTGAGAGGCCCCTTTGGGCTGCGGTGATGTGTTCAGTGTGTTTAACCCCAGCACTCTCCTGGGAGCTCCGTGTTTCATTAACTTCTACTTCCAGGGTTTTTAAAAGTTAACTGTCGATGGATTAGGCAGAGGAAAAGCTTTCCTGTATCTCTTCAATACAATCATTTATGCTTTCTAAGTCATTGTAGCTTCGGGAAAAGCAAGGCCAAGAGCAGTAATGGTTTTTTTACAGCACATGTTGAGGTAGTTTTCAGCGAGGCGCTGGGATCGGTTGGGCTGGAGCTCCCTCAACCCCTGATCTTGGCAGTATCAATGCCAAGCTCCCGCGAGGCCCAGGCCAGCGGGAATAGGCCCGTTTGTTGGGGTGGCAGGAGGAGGTTCAGGGAGGCTGTGTTCCCCGGGGCCTCGGGGCTGGCAGCTCCGCAGCCC